AAGATTGGCTTTTTTTTTTTTTAGAGTGTGTGTGTGCACAAGCGGGGTCGGGTAGAGGCGGAGAGAGACTCTTAAGCAGGCTCCACGCTTAGTGTGGAGCTGAAAGTGGGGCTGAATCTCATGACCCTGAGATCATGACCTGAGCTGAAATCAAGAGTTGGATGCTCAACTGACTGCACCCCTCTAGAGAAAGATTGCTAAGCAATGATTCTTACTTTTACTTAAACATAAGGCAAAATAACCTGCAATCTGGGGAGAAAGATTTCATTTAGATGTTTTCCATTAGACTGCAGCACGTTTTTTTAATGTTTAGCTTACCAGAAGATGGCTAGATGCTCCTACCTGCTGTGCTCAGTCTTTGCTACATTACACGTTACGTAATCTCTGTACAGTCATGAGAGAATGAAAAGGCAAATGTGGTCTTACTATTATTTTGAAAATAGTTTTGAGTTTGGGGCCCTGTGGAAGAGTCTTGGCATTCGCTAGCATCCCCCCATGCTTCACTTTGGGAGCCACTGGGCTAGTGGGACCAGCATAGCCGTCCTCCCTTTTCAGGCTCCTGGGATGTCCTGCAGGAGCTGTGCCTCTTGCCTTAGCCTGTAACTCCTCAAGTTTTATTGAAAGCAGTTCCTGCTGCCTTCAAATGGAAAGAGAACTTGGGAGGCTGACACCCCAGCTCAGGGCTCTGACATTAAGGTCAAGGAGGCAGGAAGGATGAGTCTGATGCACTCATCGTGATTTCTCCTCATTTTCCCAGTCCCACAGACGGCAGCACAACAAAGATAAACCCTTCAAGTGCCACAACTGTCATCGGGCGTACACGGACGCAGCCTCCCTAGAGGTACACCTATCTACGCATACGGTGAAGCATGCCAAGGTGTACACCTGCACTATCTGTAGTCGGGCATACACGTCGGTGAGTGCTCATGCCAGTGCCTGCCCTTCACTTCCCCGTAGGCCTGCAGGGCCACACAGTCCACTTCACCCCATCTTCCCGGAGAGAAGGCTGTTGCCTTGAAAACGCTAGCTCCCTAGCTCCAGCTCGTCAGAATCCATAAAGAGAGGCGAAATTAAACAGATCTATAGCTAAGGAATTTAGGGGGTGCCTGATCCCTTAAGCCTATAGAGAAAGATTGCTAAGCAATGATTCTTAATTTCACTTAAACATAAGGCAAAATAACTTGCAACCTGGGGAGAAAGATTTCAGTTAGATGTTTTCCATTAGACTCCAGGAAGAGGTGGTAAAGTCATTCCACTCAAAGATCTTTGGGGAAATGACAGTTTTCCCTGTGCCAGTTGAATGCCTACCGTGACTCTGAGGGTCTCCCTCTCCTTCCTGCTCACCGATAGTGAGCACTGACAGAGGCTCCTGGGGAGAACTTGCCCACAGCTCCAGAATGTCTCCGTTGAAGTATGGCTCTATTTAAAGTAAAGTAAGAGCCCAGGATGCTAGTTATAAGTAACCTCTTTCCTTCTCTTTCATCCCTCAACTCTTCTTCTCCATCTCCTTCAGGAAACGTACCTTATGAAACATATGCGCAAACACAACCCTCCTGATCTCCAGCAACAAGTGCAGGCGGCGGCGGCGGCGGCGGCAGTGGCCCAGGCTCAGGCCCAGGCCCAGGCTCAGGCCCAGGCTCAAGCTCAGGCCCAGGCCCAGGCCCAGGCTCAGGCTCAGGCCCAGGCTCAGGCCCAGGCCCAGGCCCAGGCTCAGGCCTCCCAGGCCTCCCAGCAGCAGCAGCAGCCACAGCCACCACATTTCCAGTCCCCTGGGGCAGCCCCCCAGGGTGGGGGTGGCGGGGACAGCAACCCCAACCCTCCACCCCAGTGTTCCTTTGACCTGACCCCCTATAAGACGGCGGAGCATCATAAGGACATCTGCCTCACTGTCACCACCAGCACCATCCAGGTGGAGCACCTGGCCAGCTCCTAGAGACCTGTGCTGCCACCCACTGGGAAGAGGGGAAAGAAGTTCTGGTCCCTTCTTTCTCCAACTTCTCTTGGTGGGAAAAGTCTTCTTCCTTGACAGGCCTTGGCTCCATCTCCTTGGGCCTCAGGCACGGCCTTCCTACACAGGATACCATGCTTATTCTCAACTCCTCTTCAAAAGGAACATCAGCCCTCCTGATTGGCAAAGGAATAATGAGCTGGTAGTGTAATCCAGCAGCCTCCCCTTCTAAGCATAGCTTTTCGAAATTGGGGGTTGGTGCTCAAGGGAGGGATTTGCTATGACCTCATAGAAACTTTTCCAGTGTGGGCACTTACCCTCTCGTTACCCTCATAATCCTCAAAGTTGGGGCTGGTGGAAGACTAGAGGCTGGTGCTCCCGGATCTCTGAGAGAAGGGAGCCCTGAATGCAACCAGCCTCCCGTTCTATTCTTGCCTGCAAAAGAACAGAGGTTGCTCACATGCCCCAATCCCCGGGAGCCGTCTTCCCCTCATGGTCTCACTTCACTTCCTACCTAGTGCGGGAAGAGGGAGATCTGGGTGGGGGTCAGACCCCCTTTATTTGTAAAGGGGCAAGGGCTGAGATGTGGTCCCCAAGGGGCCGGAGATCCCCATAATGGTCAAGGGTGGCTTAGAAGTGTGGGTTATGGTTTTCCTTGGAGCCTCTCCCCTTCTCTGCCAGCCAAGGCCCCATACTCAGTCTCCCAATCCCAAAGCCAGAGGAGCTGTGGGAGCTTTGTGTTCTTTATGAAAGCCCAAAACAAGGGGTATTGCAGAGAAGGGAGAGTTCAGGGCAAACACAAGGACTGGACTTAGCTCCCTAGGTGCCACGGTCAGTTGCCGGACACGGATTTATATATAAATATATATATAAATATATATATATATATACCCACTCATCACGGCCATCTTTGTTGTAACCATTTCTGTGTTTATAAATGCATTATCTCTGAGAATTTTCATATTTGATGTTTTGTTTATTTTTGTCCTTATTGTTTCTCTCCACCCACCCTGTCTTCTGGCCAACGGCATTTTTATTTCCTTTTGTCCTTTTTGTTTGTTTTTAAATCATGGCAGATTTCAGAGAAAAGAGAAAATGAAAAAAATCAGGAAACCAGTTGTTATAAAGCAATTTAAAATGAAGAAAAAAAAAACTTATGTACAAACCAAGGGGTGTTTTTAGAACCTTGTATAGAAATAAATTCGTGTAAAAGGATCAGAGGCAGTGGAGCTGCTGATATGAGCGAGCATGGGAAGAAGCTACCTGGGGATATGTTCAAGGACAGTACTAAGAATTTACACTAGAGTGTGTGTATGTGAAGAGTGAATGCTGTGTGATGAGACTCTGTGTATGTATCCCCAAGCGTAGAAGGGCACAGCATTGATACTTAAAGTGAGATCTTGGTTTATGAGGGTTTCTACATATAAATTCTGTCATGGGGCCTGCGATGCCTAAATGTATGAGAGCAAGGTTTCAGTCATGTGTTGATAAAACCACTAAGCTCCCCATGAAAGAAATGGAAGCATGCCCTCTTTTTTTTTTTTAATTTTATTTATTTATTTGACAGACACAGCGAGAGCAGGAACACAAGCAGGGGGAGTGGGAGAGGGAGAAGCAGGCTTCCTGCTGAGCAGGGAGCCCGATGTGGGACTCGATCCCAGGACCCTGGGATCATGACCTGAGCCGAAGGCAGACGCTTAACGACTGAGCCACCCAGGCGCCCGAAGCATGCCCTCTTGAAAGGGCCTACACTCCTGCCTGAGCATCACCAGCTCAGGGCTAATTCCAGCCGGCAGAGTGCGTACATACATATATCTATTATCTATATCTGTAGGTTTGCAGTGGTGGGAGCCATAACCAGAACTGAGTAACAATGCAGGACAGTTGTAGTGCTTGAAAAGTAAAATGTGGTGAGGAAACCTGGACTTCAGCCCTGGCTCCACTGCCAAGCAGTGTTCACGGAGAGACTTCTTCAGCTGTTAAAAGAAGGGATCGGACTAGACCGCCTCCAAGATTTGTTTTTGAGAATTAAAGACCTTTAAGCACTGAATATGTTGTGACAAATCTCCAACATCGAATAACATGGCTATCTGCGTACTACTGCTGGGCAACCGTGCTCATGACCTAGAGGAATGTGGATAGTCCATGAAGTAATAATGCCCACTTAAGTTTTGGGCTCAGCCAGTCTCTTGGGTGGGCATCCAAGACCTCTCAATCTGCGCTGTGACACTAATGAATGTATCATCTATGATGAGACATGTCAATGTCTGCTAGCTTCCTGAATACTTTTCTTTCCCCTGCTCTTGCCAATTGCTGAAAATGTCCTGACTGCCCTATCTTCACCACAGCTATTAAAACCAGAATCTACTCTTTTTAAGGATTCACTCACAATCATAGCAAGAACTCTTATGAGGTAGGTACTACTGGTCTCAATTTATAGAGAAGGACATAAGCATCGGAATTAAATTGTTACCCAGGGGCATGACACTTGGAGTGAAGTCTAGATCCAGCTGCTGTATCTTACCACTTGCTCAGTAGTAAACCTGAGGTTTCATCTTCCCCTTCTTCACATATTTGGTCTAAATGAGGTGACTGAAAATCTTTCATTAAAAACGCTGCCCTGTGGCATTGATAATTATCACGAATGTGTGAGTTGGGGGTGGGGGGGACAACAGTCTCCAAAACGCTATCTTACTAACACCACTATTAAGGTATGGGCTTTGAGTTGTTGCCCCAGTGTGGTGGCAGTCTGTCATGCACTTGATTGGTTTCCATCCTGATGTAGAGTCCTTCTCATTGTACCGTAGCTGACTAGGATGACAGCTGGCCCACTTGTGACAGAGCTCCGTGCTCCAGTCCTTTCAGAATCGTGGTGCCAGTTAATGTCACATATAAACTGGAAAACAAAAAAAAAGCGGGGGTGGGGGGATAAAAACAAGGGGCAAGGCCAAAAATACTATGTCATTTTATACGTGAGAATGTATTCGAGTGTGAAAGGACGGGAACCCTGACAACTGTGAAGAATTACAGCTTTATTGTGTAAGTCTTTGTATTTATAAGTACAGTTTATAAATAATCATTTCTTTCTAAGTTAAAAAATAATCCTGGGGAGCCGATGTTCGTGCGATTGAAAAGAAGTGCGGAGGGTTTAAATCTCGCAACACCAGCTACGCCTCCCTAACTTCGTTAAGAAACTAGCTACCTTGAAGAAAGTCTTGATTCAGCCCGGACCTGCGGTGGTCACTAGATTCATATCCTGCAAAAAGGAGCAGAGTCCCCAGTCGCTGAAAAGGTATATTTATGGAATACTATCCTAAAGAGACAAGGGGGGTTTTTTTGCCCCTCATTACCACATATCCTGGTTTTGGAGGGAAAAAAAAAAAAAGTTTGATAGGGAATGCAAAATGGCGACCCGCAGTGACGTCATGCCTGCTTCGGTCGCGTACTGGGGTCTCAGTAAGGGCGGAAGCGTGCTAAAGCCACCTCAAGACACCTCGGCACCGGCCGCCCCCGCTACCTACGCAAAAGGGAAAGTTTCAACGTCGGGCGGATGTGTCCCGGCGAATAATTTACTGAGGGCGGAAGCTCTCCTTTTAAGGGCGGAAGCTCTCCTTTTAAGGGCGGAAAGGCTCCAACCCAACGATAATAGCTTCAGCGCCTTTTGCGTTTCAGTCACTTCCGGGGCGGATCGGAAGTTGCTTTGTTTTGCTTCAAGATGGCTGCGGGGATGTATTTGGAACATTATCTGGACAGTAAGAGCAGGCTGGAGGAGGGGGTCAGGGGTCATAGAGTGGTGGTGGGGATCGGGGCTGAGGAGCTGTATGGCCCCGAAGTCCCGGTGGTCAGAAAGTCACAATTGTGAAGGGGTTCCGTGAGAGAAAATATTGGAGGGTGTGAAGAAAGAGGGGGCGGGGCAGCAGGGTCGGGGCCTGGCTTTTGGGTGTAGACGAGGGAGGGGCTGCGCGGTAGGGCTGAGGGGATGTCTCTGAAGGGCTAATGGGCAGAGCTGGGAAGGTATTTGCTGAGCCCATCCCCAGGGTCTCCAGCCTGAGGATATTCACACACACACACACCCCCCACAACCGTTTAGGATCGGTCGTTTTAGTATATCGCCCACTGCTATTTGGAGCAGCGACAAAGACCTGCTCGCAGCTCCTCCGCTCAGTTGTTTCTGAGAAGCGGTTTCTCATGGGGATCGCGGGTTGTGAGTGACCACTGTCAGAGAGTAAAACTGGAACGCTTCTCTTCTTGGAGTAAAGATCCAATTCCTATCAAATGGAAATCTGGTGTTGTGTTTATGCCATTTGTGTTACCCACCCCTTCACAAAGCCTGTCACCCTTATGCGCTTACATTTATTTGTCTTAGTGTTGGGAGTCATCCATTCATCCATTCATTTATTGAGGCCCTGCTCTGGGTCAGACATAATGGCAGGTACTGCGGAGATACCAAAATGAATAAGACACAGACCGTGCCCTCAAGTGCTCATAGTCTAGGAGGAAACAGATTCTGCTAATAATTATAAAACTGTGACAAGTGAAATAATAGAAATACATTAAAAGGACAGTTGGTAGCACTGGAGAAAGAAGGGCTAATTCCCTGGGGTTGTAGGTAAAGCTTTACCAGAGGATGTGATATTTGAATAGAGTTTTGAAGACTGAGTGTTTATTTGCTAGTGTGGAGAAGGAAAGGAAATTTCTGGTTGGAGAAGGCATCAGCAAAGGTATTACGGTGGATTTGTGGCAGGTCAGGGAAAGGTGAAGTCGGAGTGCTTGACAGATAGGACTCTAAGGTGGAAGATTGGGAAGTGAGGCTGGAGAAAGGCTGGGGCTAGATTGTGCAAGGTCTTTTAAGCCAGCCTAAGAGGCTTGCACTTTAGATAGCAAAGAACCAACAGATTTTAAAAATAGGTTTTAATAAGGGAAAACAACTGATGTATGATAAGTTCAGGTCTCAGTGACAGAAGTCTTTAGGAGCTAAAAGGACAGCACTGATTGAATGACTAGGTAGTTGAGAGAGAAAGAAGAATCTAAGGTGACTCTTTGATTTCCTGCTTGGGAAGTGAGGTGGATAAGATACCGTCAGCAAGATAGGGAATCAGGAGTAACAGCAATATACCTAATTCAATTTTAAACTTAAGCATAGGCATGGTAATTATATGAGAGTGAATGAGGTCGAGATCATTCAGGGAATATAAGGAAAGTGGGAAAATGAGAGGATTAAAGTATAATCTCAAGAAAACAGGGGCACCTGGGTGGCTCAGTTGTTAAGCATCTGCCTTAGGCTCAGGTCATGATCCCAGGGTCCTGGGATTGAGCCCTGCATGGGGCTCCCTGCTCCTCGGGAGGCCTGCTTCTCCCTCTCCCACTCCCCCTGCTTGTGTTCCCTCTCTCACTGTCTCTCTCTCTGTCAAATAAATAAAATCTTAAAAAAAAAAAAAGAAAAGGGACAGGCTAAAGAAACATCACTGTTGGAATTATCAGAAAGTATATGATGAGATTTAGAATCCTAATAGGAAGAAAGTTACTGAAGGAAAGAAGATGGTGCCAACTGCTGCAGACATATTTTTTAAGATAGGACTATCTTGTCCTATCTTAACAATGATCTGTTGATCTGTTTGATCAATAGATCAAATGATCTGTTGATCATTTGTTTTGGTAAGTCATCGGTGACTTAAAGTAATCTCAATAAACTGGTGATGGCAGACCTGACGTTATAGTTTAAAGCAGTGCAGGTATTTTTAAAAGTTTGAGATGGAGTCATGGGAAGAGATTTTTCTTTTATGGAGAGACATAAGTTATATGTGCATTTATTCAAGTATTTATTGAAGACCCTCTGTACGCAAGTCATAGCAAAATAAGCGAGAAGACAGACATGTCCAGTCCTTCTGGAGGGCTAGGGAGAGAGATACCAAATAACTGGTTACACAATTAATGATTTAGTTGCAGTTGGATAAGTGCCCAAAAGGGTAGAGCTAGAATAACTTGACGGCATCATCCAGGGCACTTGGAGTCTGGAGAAGTCAGAGTTGAGCTGAACTTTGAAGAATGAACAGCAATTTAGTAGGCTGAGAAGTATGGTGGAGGTGGGATGAAGAACAAGCAGTCATTCCGGACAGTGAAAGCAGCACGTGGAAAGCTGGGTAGCAGTACGAGCCCTGGCAAAGTTGGGGGGCACTCAAGGCCAGTCTGATCAGGGCAGACCGAGCTCAAAGGGGGACTGACCTGAATCAAGGCTGGAGTAAGGCGAGCATGGGCCAGAAAGTACAAAATAGGCATAGGAATTGTGTGATAGGAAGTTTACCAGATGGTTATAAAGCAGGAGGGTGACTTGATGAGATTTGCATTTTTTAAGAGAATATTCTGACTATGATACAGAAAGCAGATTGGAAGTGTGTATGTGTGTGCGCATGTGTGCGTGCGTGTGCACGCGTGTGTGACGAGTGTGTGTGTGCACATGTGCGTGTGTGCGTGTGTGTGTGTGTGTGTGATGAGTGGAGGATACCAGGTGGATATTTGGACTGAGAGCAAGGAGCTTGAAGGGAATCAAGGAAAAGGAGGGGCTGATTGACAGAATAAGGTCACTGAAGGGGCAAATGGTGCGAAAGCTGTGAAGAGATGCAGACACAGCCTCCACTGAAAAAGGAATGATGAGTGCTGTTCTGAGTCAGTCTAGCTGTTCCAAGGAGGGGAAACTGAGTCCCCTTCTGGATCTGTGCTTTAAAAGCAGCTGTAAGGCCTATGAAGTACAGTGATTCTCAGTTTTTATTCTTCTCCCTAGGTATTGAAAATCTCCCCTTCGAACTGCAGAGAAATTTTCAGCTCATGAGGGACCTGGACCAAAGAACAGAGGGTATGTACAGAGTAAGGAGTTTGGGTGTATAATGAGTGTGTATGATCATTTCTTTTTTCTGTTTGGTGTTACCATATCATCTGGTCTGATCTGGAGAACTGTGGCTTCTCTCTCTTTTTTACTCTCCTGCAATTCTTAAAAGGAGAGCAGTGAGGATCTACATTTCTAGATCAGCGTTTCCATAATAGAGTTTGCAACAATGCCTCAAGAACTCAAAGATGCTCTGTTCTTTATATCTGCAAGAAGAATTCAAAAAGAAGTCAACTCTAGAATCGTTTCTGTTCTCTGTATTCAATATATCTATAGGAAGACTAGGATGTTTCTACTCTGCTGGATTGTTAACGTTGTATCACACAATTCAGTGTGGCTATAGACCGCAAGTCATGTTGGTAGAGAAGTTCTTAAAAAGGAAAAAAAGAGAGAGAGAAAGAAGAAAAAAAGAAGAAAGAGCAGCAATTAACAACAGGATCTCTACACTGTATTCTTCAACCTTACAGAAGCACTAGATACCATCTGTGGCCTTCCTTGGATGTTGAGCAAATCTGGCTGCATTGAGGCATTCACTTGGAGCCTGAGGCTACACTACAGTGGTCCGATTGGTCTCTTCAAGGGCAAAGATGTCGTCTATTGGAGCCATGCCCCATACTGGCTGAAGGATATATAGGTCTTACCTTCCATCCTTATGTAGCCATGCTCAAGGATGTGACAAGCTGGTGTTAGAATACCTAAAGCTGTGATTTCAGTTACTCTGGGTAAGTTTACTCATGAAAAGGTGAACATCATGTAAAATCCTGGATGTAGGACACCACCCCCACCGACCCCCCGGCCCCGAGAACTGCCTGGCGGATGTTGAGAACCAGCTTGCTTCCTTTGTATCACAGTCCCTACTCTTGAGTTCGTGCACAGAAAGACCGGTTGGGAGATTATCAAACTCCATGCATTTTCAGCTTCCTCCCAAGGCCTCCCATGAAATGGGGCATGAACATAGTATGTACACAGATCCTTCCAGTTGTCTGTCGCTGCACCATGTTACAGTCACTCTTTTGTTTCTTTTCATCGACATTTTTTATGAGTCCTACCAAATAGTAGGCGGTAGGCATCTACAGTCTCAGTGTCTGGGGACATCGCCAGCCTTCTGATATTAAAATGTTTGGAGCAATGTCTAAGATGAACAAACAGAGAAAAAGTGACGGGAAATACGAGCAGGTTGCAGACGATGAGCAAAGTAGGGTAGGAGAACTGTTACATAAATGAACTAGGGCCTAGTTTTAAATGATGAGTCACAGATGTACAGACCTGGAAGGCGGCCGCAGCAGATGACCCAGCCGGCTTCGCAGCACTCAGAGCTGTTGTGGAATGTTTTTTGAGACAAGAAATCAGGAAGCCTGTGAGACAAGATTCGTGGTTCAAGAAGCAGCAAGCCCTGCAAAGAAGCATTTGCAGACACCAACAAAAATATACTTCGTATTAGTGCGGTGTGCAAAGGCTCCCTCCTTATTTTTCACTAACTTCAGTTCGCCTGAAGGCACCTTTAAAACAAATACTGTCAATATGTTGCATTACTTGAGTAAATGGCACAGTACCTATGAACTTTCAGGGCATTTTAGTTCGAAGGTTATGATGCTGGTCAATGGAAAAGGTCCAAGAAACAAGAGGAAGAAGTGTGTTTCATCTAGCCACTCAGGGGCCTTTGTGACCAGGCCTCTGTCTCTGTTGTAGACCTGAAGGCTGAAATTGACAAGTTGGCCACTGAGTATATGAGTAGCGCCCGCAGCCTGAGCTCCGAGGAAAAATTGGCCCTTCTCAAACAGATCCAGGAAGCCTATGGCAAGTGCAAGGAATTTGGTGACGACAAGGTGCAGCTTGCCATGCAGACCTATGAGATGGTATGGCCCTGTTCACGGCTCCCCACCTACCTCCCATCTAATCCTTGGGGTCCTAGACCCCTCCTTCAGCTGTGTCGGGATCTGTTTTGGGTCTGGGAGATACACAGAATGTGCCTTAGCCTTATTTTCTTTTTGCCCAAACCAGCCTTGTAGCTCTCTCTTTTCCTTCCTTGCACCTAGGTGGACAAACACATTCGGCGACTGGACACAGACCTGGCCCGTTTTGAGGCTGATTTGAAGGAGAAGCAGATTGAGTCCAGTGACTATGACAGCTCTTCCAGCAAAGGCAAAAAGAGTGAGGAGGGGGGCGGGGCTAGAGAGGGGGCGGGGTTGCCGAGGGAGAAGCGGCCACACTTCCACTACAGCTATGGGGGAGGGGCTCGAGCAGGAAGACTTAACCCATCTTTCTGTCTCCCTGCCTTCTGGCTTTCCCCCTCTTTCCTAGAAGGCCGGACTCAAAAGGAGAAGAAAGCTGCCCGTGCTCGTTCCAAAGGGAAAAACTCAGATGAAGAAGCTCCCAAAGCTGCCCAAAAGAAGTTGAAACTTGTGCGCACGTGAGTGTACAGGGGGGCGCTTTGCCATGCAGTGTATTTTTTTCTCCTGCCCCGCACTCCCACCCCACACTGCCCCTTGCCACTCTCTCCATCTTCTGTGCCAGTAACTTCTGTCATTGTGGTATTTGCTGGATAGAAAAGAGACGCCACAAATCACTTGTCCCTCCAGGATGTCTTTCTACCACCTCTCTAGCTTCCCTTTCTGCAGATGACACGTTCTCTTCCTCTTGGCATGCAGAAGTCCTGAGTATGGGATGCCCTCAGTGACCTTTGGCAGTGTCCACCCCTCTGATGTGTTGGATATGCCTGTGGATCCCAACGAACCCACCTATTGCCTTTGTCACCAGGTCTCCTATGGAGAGATGATTGGCTGTGACAACCCTGATGTGAGAACCAACCGTTTTGCCTCCAGATGGGGTTCTGGGGGCCACGAGGGAGCGGGTACAAGAGGGGAAGAAACGGTTGAATAGTGGGACTCCAGAATAACAGGAAGGTGGAGTTGGTTGGCCTTGGGACCTCCAAGATTTCTCCAAAGGGACGGAATACGGGAACACTTCTGAGGAATCTGTGGAGGAAACTTCTTTTCTTTCCTCTGCCCCGCCTGGGCCCCTGACTTCTGCTTCTTCCATCTTCCTCCTTTTCAGTGTTCCATCGAGTGGTTCCACTTTGCCTGTGTGGGGCTGACGACCAAGCCTCGGGGGAAGTGGTGAGTGAGAGAGTTGTGGCAGGCGCTGGGCTGCCCCTGAGCTGCGTGGAGGAGAGCACTCCCTCTCACTCACTTTCTCCCTCCGCCTCTCTCTATCACGTTCCTCTCTAGGTTCTGCCCACGCTGCTCCCAGGAACGCAAGAAGAAATAGATAGGGGCCTTGGATTCCCATGGTTTCTTCCACATCCCTGGACCTGGGCTAGTGGGGAGAGGAAAGCCTGTGCTGGGGCCCGGGGGCTCCGGGAGAGTGGATGGCGCAGTGTAGTCATCCCTTCTCCTCCCCTCTCCCCACTCCTGGTGCTGAGGCTGCATCCAAACCCTGGTAGGGAGGGGTGCCGCAGCCGCTAACCGTCTGTGCTCTCATTCAGCCTGCCCCCCTCAGAGGGAAGTGGTCTTGCCCACTGTCCTTTTGCCTCTGTGCTGAGGTTGGTGCTGTATTTCCAAGGGATGGTCCTCTTCAGTCCCCTTACTTTGTATTTAAGGACTGGGGCAGTAGCATGGGGGCACTCCCCAGCTCTCCTGATTCCCTCCCCCTGTGGGGGGGCTCTGGTGTGATAAACTCTCTTTGTTCTCTTCCTGCTTTTTCCACGGTAGGGGATCCCCCAGAGCATCTGGGCTGTGGCCTTAGTTGAAGGGGCACCCCTTCCTCTGTGCCAAGAGGATTCATCCTGGCCTTGTGAGTGGGAGAGGGGGCAAGGTGGAATGCACATACACATGTGTAAAGGAATTTGAGTAGGTGAATAAAAGCTATCCATGTTGGCCTGCTGTGTTTATTGTAGAGACCGAATTTCAGTATGTGTGCTACACATTTTGTTTGCATCCTCTGGGTTGGATTAGAGGTGGGAGGAAGTAGAACAAGACATGAAACCAGAAGCGATACCTCTGCACCAGAATCCACAACTTCTCACCTTGGGAAGGGCAGGGAGTGCTGCAGCCCGGGGCTTTCCCAGACTTTTAAAATTCTGCATCTTTTCTCCATAAAACATCTTTCACTTAATTTCCAATAAACGTGTATGTGTGTGTTTTATGCATGTACTATTATACTATTAGCTTGATTTCTTATTTTAAACACAAAACGGAAAAACATTTTGCCCCTATGTCAATGGGTTGTCTTGCTCACCTCCCATTTTGAAACCCCTTCCTTAGACTGAACCATCCTTACACCTGAGCACCTCCTCACCCGAACCCGGCTTGCTCCCCCCTTTGGCTCATTTCTTACCCGGAGGCTCCCTCTAATTCCTACCCAGATAGGCCCTGACTTTGTTCTGTATACTCCATCCCTGCCTGCCCCAGAACCCCGCCTACATTCCCATCTAGGCCTCACCACCCAATAGGCAGATTGGTTCTCCAAACCCCGGTTTTGTCATCTGTAATGTAGGGATGACAGTACCCACTTTGTAGGGTTACCTCGGGAATGCAATAAGGTGATACATACAAAGAACAGCACGGGGCCTACTCCGTCGAAGGTACTGAGTCCGTGATGGCTTTTGCCGTCATTATCCTCCGGGGTGGAATATGACACACGTGAGGACCCTTACACCCTTCCCCCCCCCCACCCCCACCCCCCGTGCCGGCGCGGTGAACCTCAGAGCGCGCGGCGGTTTCCGCGGCCCCGCCCCCGCCCTTTGTGACGTCGGGGCCGCACCTTCTACTCCCCCATCTGCGAGCCCGCCCCCGCGGCTCTCTCTGGCTTGGCCCGTTAGAGGCCGCTTTGGTCCGGGAAACGCTGGCGGATCGACTGGGGCCATGAGGAAGCTAGCCGCTGGCTTCCCTCTCTCACTCCTCGAGGGTGAGAGGTTCCCGCCTACTCGAGCAGTCTCTTTCTCCCGAGGTTCAGTCCTTCACTTCCCAAGCGCCCTTGCTATAAGGTTTTGAAATGCTTTCTCAGGGTGGTCACGTTGGGTTTACTCCCTAGCTTCTGGGCTCAGACCCTACCCGCTGCCCCTGGAATCTCCTCACCCTGATCTGGGGGGATCGCCTGCCAGACATCCCCCAGTTGCTGATTTCCACGGGGCCCGTTTGCCAGTCGGTCTGCCCAGGGCCCGAGGCGGGTTTTGGAGTTCGGTCCATCCATCCGTCTGTTTCCCTGCCCCGCAGGGCTCCTCCTGCTTCTGACACCTGCCCCAGCCCAGGATTCAATTTCGGCCTCCACCCCAGGCAGCCCTCTCTCTCCCACCGAATATGAACGCTTCTTCGCACTGCTGACCCCAACCTGGAAAGCAGAGACTACCTGCCGTCTCCGGGCAACGCACGGCTGCCGGAACCCCACCCTCGTCCAGCTGGACCAATACGAAAATCACGGCTTGGTTCCGGACGGTGAGGGCCAGACTAGTAGGGCAGACCCGCGCTCGCTTGAGACCTGAGGAGGATGGCCGACTCCTTACCCTGGGGCCATATTCTCCACTCTGCAGACCCAAGGAGCCCACCGCCCCCGCCCCCGCCCCCTCGGGGAGAGAGGTTCCCCCTCGTGTGTGTTCACCTTCTCCACCCCTGCCCATTCTCAGGCGCTGTCTGCTCCGACCTCCCTTATGCCTCCTGGTTTGAGTCCTTCTGCCAGTTTACTCAGTATCGTTGCTCCAACCATGTCTACTACGCCAAGGTGAGGCTCGGGACAAAGGTTGGATGTGGTCCGAGGACCACGGGGGGGTTCTGGGGCGGGGGGGGGAGGTGAGGCGTTGAGGAAGGGCTCCAGGAGGGCCATCCTGAGATCCTCCCTCCCTGCCACTTTGCCAGTCCTTTACTCGGAGTAGGTAGGAGTGCAGTCTCACCCTGGGCATTCCGACTGTCGGAATGGTCTTGTTCCTGCAAGAAAAGCAGGGAAGAGGGCAGAGGAGAGGCAAAGGGACAAGGACTCCCCTTTCTTCTAATACTTGAGTGATTTCTTTCAAGTCAAACACGAGAGTGAAGGCAGAGGTGTGGCCCAGACACTGAGTCTTCTCTCACGGGGGAACCCTTTCTCAGGTTTAGAGGGTTCCACCAGGGACCATACCCCTTCATCCCTGTCCAGCAACTGCGAGAGAGGAGACATGCCAGAAAAGGACTGAGCCGGACGCTGGAGTACAAGTCCGCCCTATGGGAAGCATGCCCACTGTCCTTCTCTTCTTGCAGAGGGTCCGGTGCTCCCAACCAGTCTCAATCCTCTCACCTAACACTCTCAAGGAGATTGACGCTTCCTCTGATGTCCCTCCCTCCACGATGAGCTCCCCGCTCTCGTCTCACGTCACAGGTGAGACCCTGCCAGTACCTGGGAGGCTACCTGCAAGCCCTTCCACAAATCCCAGAGCCCAGGAGTTAAGGCATTGGCGGTAGAGAATGGGGAAGAATGTTGAGCAGGGCTGGGGGGTGGGGGGCTGGCAGCATGTGACTAGTTACATAAGGCCGGAGACTGCTTTTTATGAATACAAGGTGGGGCTTTCCCCGTCCAGGAGTATCTTCTGACATTGCATACAATTCTAGGAAAAATTCACTTTTCCCAGCTCCCCCAAGCATTCCTGCGTCTGAAAGTCCTCTGGGACTTTTATAAGCCGCCATCTTCACTCTAGAAAGGATTCGTTGCTCCCCATTCAGCATCTTTGGTGTTTCCTAAGTGAGAGGGACAAAAGGTGGGATTTGAGGTGGGAGCTAGGGAAGAGGAGCACTTGTCGGGGAGGTGGAAAGGAGAACCACAGTTGCCGTAATTGCCATGGCAGTTTTTCTTTTCTTTTCATATTCAATTCATATTTATTTCATATTCATATTTTATATTCATATTCATATTCTTTTATTTTCATATTCGTCCCTCTCGGGGGCCAGAAGCCTGACTCTTCCTTCCCATTTTCTTTCTCGGTCCTTCCCAAACCCTTCTACAGCCACAGAACGACAGGCCTTCCAGCCCTGGCCCGAGAGGCTCAACAACAACGTGGAGGAGCTGCTACAGTCCTCCCTGTCCCTGGGGGGCCAGGAGCGCAGGCAGGAGCAAGGCCAGGAGCGCAGGCAGGAGCAAGG